CTCCAAACCCTGCTGAGGTGCTCTGCTTCCTGCTTCTCTACACCCACACAGGGTACCCAGATAGGAGGGGCTTCTCCTGACTCAGCCTGCTCTCAGCTCCTGCCCTGATCTCACCTGAGTGCCCCCGACCACAGACCCTTCAACTTGAAACCTTCCCCCATCTTAAGCCCCCAGCCAACCCCTGATGAATTAGACAAAGAGGGTCCTGGTCTCCCTGAGGCCCTAGGGAACTGGCTCCTACCATGAGGGTCAGAGTCCTGAGAGACTAGAAGGGTCTGGCCCAGGTTAATAGCCCTGTGCTAAGAGCTAAGGGAACCAAGATCCAGCAGAGAGGTAAGTGGTCAGCTGCTGGTCAGAGAGGGCAGCCCAGGTGCCCGTGAGGGACCAGCATATGCAAGGCCTGTACTTGAATCTTCCACTTAGGACCCTCAGTCTGCAGTTGATCAGGTTTTGGGACCCAAACTGGAACACATGGGCAAATATATCATGTTTAGAGAATGAGACAAAAGATTCAAAATCAGGTCTGCCCTGGAAAATCCAAGACTTATTGTGGTATGCGGGGTGAGTGGTGTGTGGTTGGCTCCAACTTCATCTGAGAGCTCAGTCAACCACAGGTGGCTGGGGGCCCAGGAAGGAGGCGGCTCTTGCAAAAAGATAAGGGCCACACTTGGGAGAGGTGCTCTCCACAGAGCAGGGGGCCCCAACTGCTTCTCACTTCCGGTGGTGAACTCTGCTTCATTTGTAAGATCAAGGGAAACAGGACCCGTTACCTTCTTCTTTTCCTCCAGCACTTGTCTCCATCACGTGTCTCCTCAGCCCCTGAAGGTCTGAATAGGCTCAGATTTGTCCTCCCTCCCCAGCTTTCCAGAAGGACCAAGTGTCCAGCCAGTCCTCTCATTTGCATTAGGAAAAAATGGAGGCTGTTGGGAGGATCATGGAGCAAATGCAGAGGCTGTGTGAGATCAGCCTGAAGGCTTCTCAGAACCAGTTGGTTATTGATCCCCAAGAAGACAGTGTTAGGGGTGCAAACAGACCCTCCAGCATGGAATTAATCACTTTAGGAACTAAGACACACAAAAAGGCCAATTCCTACTCAAGAGGCACGTGGTTCTCTTAGAGGTCAAAGAAGAGAGCAGATTGGGGCTGAACTTCAACCCAAGCTGGGCTCTCCAACCATTATGCCTTGGCAGGAGTTGGACGAGAAACTTTTTGAAAATTTGCACCAAAGGGGCTCTGTGGGATAGGGAGGACCCTAGGCAGTGAGGTCCCCTGAGATGGGCGAGCAAGGCAGAGTTCTTTAATGTTGAGAGGATAGCAACAGGGACCAATCATTTGTCATGCTTCTGAGGACAGAAAGCAGGGCCCTGGAAGGAGCAGGGGGAGGAGATGCAGGATGTCTGGGAAGGCTGGAAAGAGGCCCCGTCACAGCCCAAAGCCAATGCATCAATGATGGGGACAGCCAGAGCTAGGACTGGCAATGAGGTTCTCTCTCCCCCAACCCCAGGCTGTCACAGAGCATTATGGTGCCCTTGCAGCCTGTCCCCTATAAAACAGCCTGGTTGGGATTTAACATCCCTGTGTGCTTATTTGACAATGTCAGTCCCTCCCTCGAGGACTGGACACTTCTGGAGGCAGAAGTATTTGTTCTCTTATATCCCTTTGTAGACACGGCATAAATGATTGTTGGGCAAATGAATGAAGGAATGAGTGGATCAGATCACCATAGGAGGCAATTTGATGAAGAAGTTTTATGTTTGCTTTCAGTTTCCAATTCCCACTGGCAAAAAGTAATGTGTTTTGTTTTTCCCTGTTTCCCCAGTTCCAGAGGTAGAGGAATAGCACCCCTTAAGAATAAAAGATTGGAGGGCTGGGGTGTAGCTCAGTGGTAGAGCACTTGCCTAGTGTGCGTGAAGCCCTGGGTTTGATCTCCAGATTGCTGTTCCTCTCCAATAGTCTTTCTTTTCTCTCATCTTTTGCTTTCTTCATTGAGTTTCTGATTGTGGAAATGAAATATAATCATT